TGGTGTTTGGAGTCAAAAGAACTCACTGGGAGTTGGTTTTGCTTTTAAATATTACATTTCTAGAGGTATCCATGCTTTGGCCTTTTTCTTTATATGGTAGTTTTGAGTTTGAATGAGTGGAGCGCTTACTGTATGTAGATCTTCCTCTTGGCTCAGTGTGGGCAGTGTGGGCATGTGAGAGATCTGGTTGGGGAAGCCAATGACTCCTGAAATGGAGAACGAGGACACAGGAGATGGAGGCTGAATGAAGGAACATGTGCCTTGCACAGGCTGTCAGAAAAGCCACTGAGGGCCTGTTGGAGGCGGGTAGGGACCAAGTCTGACAGGAGATTGCAGGAAGAGCCATCTTTCTACGGTACTAGGAAAGACCTGGGCAAATATTCTTGCTGAAAGCCTTCTGTATCCCAATTTTTCTTTTTTCTTTTTTTTTGGGGTCCGGTCGTGGGGCCTGAACTCTGGGCCTGGGCGCTGTCTCTCAGCTCTTCAGCTCAAGACTAGCTCTCTTGCCGGGCGCTGGTGGCTCACGCCTGTAATCCTAGCTACTCAGGAGGCTGAGATCTGAGGATCGCGGTTCAAAGCCAGCCCGGGCAGGAGAGACCGTGAGACTCCTATCTCCAATTAACCACCAGAAAACCGGAAGTGGCGCTGTAGCTCAAGTGGTAGAGCACTCGCCTTGAGCTGAAGAGCTGAGGGACAGCGCCCAGGCCCAGAGTTCAAGCCCCACGACCGACAAAAAAAAAAGACTAGCGCTCTACCACTTTAGCCACCATGCCACTTCCGGCTTTTTTTGTTTTTGCTTATGTGGTGCTGAGGAATCGAACCCAGGGCCTCATGCATGAAAGGCAAGCGCTCTACCACTGAGCCACCTTCCCAGCCCTGTACCCTAATTTTTCTAACCTAGAAAGAGGGACTGTTGCCAACTTCACAACAGACTGAGTGAACTAAGTCAGGTATAGCTCCAAACCCAGTGTTTGAGGCACAATAAATGTGAAACCTGTGGTCCCCCTCCTCTTCTGTCTCTCAGGAGACCCATACCCAGAGGTATGGTACCAGAAGTGTATCGCTTGCCTTTGACTTTCCCTCAGGCTGGATACAAGGCTTCTATCTTGGTTCTTTATTTGATATTTGCAGCCACCACTGTAAAGTCATCAGACAGGTTTGTAGTAGCATGCAATACTATCAACTTGGGACAAGCAAATGCCTTGTCACAGTAGAAAGAACATTACCTAAGGTCAAATTCTAGTACTGGCACACACATGCACATACACACACACACACATTGTGCACACACCACACACACACACACACACACACACACACACACACACACACACAAATCCGAAGCTCATGGTGAGTCAATCATTGTAAAGTCAGTCTGCAGGTAAAGGACAAAACTGGAATCAGCCCTAGTCTGATGCCAAAGGCTATGTCCCCCACTGTTTGGTCCTACTTGGAGGCATAGCTAAAGGCACTGTAGCTTGAAAGAACATCAGGCTGTAGAGAACAGAGGTGGTAGCCGGAGAACTGCAAGAGAGGTATGGGATCTTCAAAGATTTGACACATCTGGGACAAGTGGGAGGAATCTGGAGCACAACAGGGGTTCAGGACTAACCTGGAAATGGCTATGAGGAGGAGGCAGGTCTCCTTTTATGTAGTACCAGCTGCCCAGCATTGGCATGCACTCATGCTTCTTAGGATTGTGCAGAGCTGGACACCCACATGGCTTCATTATGCAGGTCATGTCACTGTGGACAGAATCTGTGATTAAATTCATTTGGCCATGAAGCTGTACCGCTCTCCACCACCTTTTATACCTGGTAAGACCTCCAGTCTTCAGCAGTGAAGTGCTGCCACCCTGGGTAGCTTCTCAGAGCCTGTTCTCCTGGCTGAGTGGGGCTTGGCCAGGGCACTGTGACCATCTGCTCAGGCTGCGAAGCTCTTTGTTGCTTGTGGCATGTTTAATAGCTTAATTTCTATTTTTCTCTTGGGAAATACAGCTCACCAGCATTGAGGCAGCAGTGGGTGCTCAAATAGTTTCTGATCGCTATCTTGAATGTTAATATCCTAAATGCATTTTATCGTCAATGACCTGTCCTCTCTGCCATGGGTTTCTCATCCCCCCTTTGCATGCAAAACTAGGCTCCCCGCCTGCCTTCTGACAGGCTTCACCACCCCATCTCATTCCTTTGCTCTCTTCCTCCTTGCTTTTCCCAGATAGCATTGTGCTTCGCCAATAAACTCCACAGTTCGTGGGAAATCTTTGACTTGGAGGATGTGAGAAAGTGTTTCATTTTGCTGGAGGATTTTTAGTGGGGATGATCTAATCTCTTAAGAAACATACATTATTTAAATTCCATGCTTTGGGGCAAAAGGGCCCCTGATAATTTTGAACTTTGGCAGGGACAGAAATCTGGTTTGGCTCTGTTTAGGAGAGTCACTTGCTGTTTTTCCTGTTGTAAATCAGTACAGGCGCTAGGTCAGTATTAGAGGGGAAAGTTTTGAGCATCTTTTCTTTACCTGTAAACTTAAAACTGTGGATTCTTAAGGTGAAAGGGATGAGAACAATCACCATGAGGTTGGTAATTGTTTCTCTTCTGGATCCCAGGGTCGGGTGAGCAGTTCTGTTCACCGCATTCATTCACCTCCTCTCTGGGGTATCTGGACTCTCCTCAGTGGCCTCATCCATGGGGCATGGAAGAAGAGGAAAGCTGGAAGAAAGCAGTAAACTCCTAACAAAAGGCTGAGTCTGGCAATGCAGTGGGATTGTGGAACGAGTGGCTCTGGAAGTGTGGACTCTGGGAAGAGTGACCTAGAAACATCCATTCAAATTGAGTTTCACTGCCTCAAGAGCACCACTCCTTGACTTCCCCCTTGTTTGATTCAAATGACACTTTAATATAGACCATGGGCGTGCCTTTCTCCATGGAAAAGATGGAGGTTTGGAGAGATGAATGATGCAGAATAGACTCTGCAGTCCTGAGCGTAGAACCTTTTCCCCACCTCCCTCAGTATATATTCAGTGTTTCCTGACCAACAGATGGTGAACTGAGGATACAAATACGGACATCATACATTTTATCTAGCAGGAAAGATAGCTGGATAGACAATGTGTCACGGTTTAATAGAGCCTTGATTAGGACATGTCTGATAAACTGTGAGAGCACAGATAAGGGTGTAATGAATTCCAAGTACATTTGGAAATGCTGGAGAGAAAAGTGATAATTGACCTTGACCTTGAAGGAGCAGGGGGTGTCCACCAGCCTGCCTCTTCCTAAGTATGACTTGCTAAATGGATGCTTGCTCTTTGCTGGGGACAAATGGAAAATGAAAAGGAGGGGATAGTGGTACCTGCCCTCAAGAAATGCACAGCTTGTTGGGGAGAGAGCCTGGCACTTGTGAGCCAATTACAGCTCTATGTAGACAGATGGGATTGTGGAGGCTGAAAAGGCCTCCACAAGGAAAGCGGGTAAGGGGACTTTATGATCCAGGGTTTCCGGAGTTACTACTCTTTCTTCTGGATAATACATATAGTTTCTGTTAGGAGAGTTCAGACCTTGCAAAGATGTCTTCACTGTAAAAATGCCCATCCCCCTCTGGTCATCTCCCCCCCCCCCCGCCCAACACACACTTTGTAGTTTCACCAGCTTGGTTCTGTGTAGCAATAGTTAGCTGGATTTGAGGGGAGGTAGCTTGAGAAGGTCAGTGATGAGCATTGAACAGTATTGATGATCTCATTACTGCCCTGTAGAAAATGGAGTTTACAGAACACCTGTACCTTCAAGACACAACCTGAGCACAGGGGTCCCTCAATCTTCGAGAGGTACCATATACATTCCAAATCTCTGATCAGGTTGTTTGTTCCATCTGGAATGTCTTTCCTTTCTTGCCCAAGACTGCTTTTCTGCCCTGGCTGCAGGTTCCTCTGATAGGTGATCAGTAATTGTCTGTCGGTTACCATTAAGTGGGGATTCAGCACTGTTGTTTTTCTTTTAACTTTTTGATAAGATTATAAACATGGTGAGAACAGGAACATCTTTTATTTTGTTCATGTTTCTGGAAGCAGCAGAATATAGAACATGAGTTCTTTGGACAATCTTGACATTGAATCTCAGCATTCCCATTTACCTTGGAACTCTGAGCATCGTTTCTTTATCTAGAAATTGGGATCACATAGTACTTTTCAACTTGTACACTACTTGTGGGAACTGTCCTTGCATTGTAGGATGTTTCACGGCTCCCTGGTTCCTACCCTTTAAACACCAGTTGTGACATGGTCTCCACAGTCAAAGCAATTAAAAACCTACCAAAACCTGGTATTAGTAGCTCACACCTATAATCCTAGCTTCTCATGAGACTGAGATCTGAGAATCATGGTTCGAAGTCAACCTGGGAAGGAAAGTCTATTAGACTTTTATCTCCAGTTAACCAGCAAAATGCCAGTAGAGCTGTGGCTCAAGTGGTAGAACACTAGCCTTGAGATTAAAAAGGTAAGGGACAGGGCTGGGAATGTGGCTTAGTGATAGAGTGCTTGCCTAGCATGCATGAAGCCCTGGGTTCAATGTCTCAGCACCACATAAACAGAAAAAGCTGGAAGTGACACTGTGGCTTAAGTGGTAGCCTTGGCAAAAGAAGATCAGGGACAGTGCCCAGGCTCTGAGTTCAAGCCTCAGCACTGACACCCCCCTCCCGCAAACAAATAATGTCTCTAGAGGTTTTTCAAATGTCACATGTGGAGCAGAATTAGTTCCCATCGAGAACCTTCCTCACTACCTTTCAGTGTGCATCAGACTTCTCAGTACTGTAATTCAGGATGCAGGATGCATCCAGTCGATGTTGGAATGCCTTCATTTCCATCTCATCTAGCACTTGACAAATTGTGAACTGATGAATCTCATGGAGTTGTGACTTTAGGTTTTAGCAGCTTGGGATGGAACTGTGTGGAACTCTCCAGTTGCCCACACAATACACTAACAGAGTCACTGTCATTTTCTTAATTGCAGATTGATCTGGAGCCAGAAGGAAAAGTGTATGTGATCATCGATCTCTCGGGTTCATCAGGTGAAGGTAGGAGAGCGTGACCTCTCATCTTTTTGTCCTGGATTGCTCCCTTCCTTGCTCAGCTGGAACATATCACTGTGATATTTAATTAATTGGCACACTTTAAAGGGGAAGGTTATTTTGAAGACACTCTGCCTGTATACCAAAAGGGACTAGCCATCTGTTAGTAGTGGAGCAGAGGGAAGATTTCTGACTTACCAAAGTAAGGCCAGTAAAACAGGCATTTCCACATACCATGTGCAGGGCAGGTTTGGCCAAGAGACAGCCTCTCCCAGGAGGCTTGTGTGGGGTTTGTGTCTCTGCTCTGAGGAGGAAGTAAAACCAGTTGGTCTAACAGTTTTCAGAAACAAAACAAATAAGGTGTCAAACTTCAGAATCTTCGTTAGAGCATTTTTAGACTCTTTTACCAGTTCTTTACATAGCAAAAGCCCTGTTATTAAAGAGAAAGAATGGAGGAAGGGAACACTGCTCTCCACTGGTTGATTATACAGTGTGGATTTTCTCTGATAGTTGGATTCTCCTTCTATCTTCTTTTTACAGCAGCTTCTTTTGATTTTTTTCTGTGCTCATTTAATTCCTTTTAAGGTTTTGTGCTGAGTAGTGAAGACTGAACAATCAGGGAAGAAAGAGAGGCTAGAAAAGAAAGCCATGTTCATACAGAAACAAGGTGATCACGGAAGGCCTTAAATGTTTGACAAGCAGACATATAACCACTGAACCATCTTTCCTTTCCTTCTTCTCTCTCTGTGGGCAGGAGACTAAAAGAGTTGGTTTTAATGGCATAGTAGAGACATTGGGAAACCAGAGCTAGTTCTTCTTGGCAATGTAAAAGGTTGGTGTTTGGGCCAGGCATGAGTGGCTCATCACGCCTATAATCTTAGCTACCCAGAAGGCTGAGATCTGATGATCAGGGTTCAAAGCCAGTCTGTATAGGACAGTCCTCAAGATTCTTTATTCCCAGAAAGTAAAGCCTTAGCTCAAGTGGAAGAGTGCCAGCCTTGAGTGAAAAACCTAAAGACAGCACCGAGGCCCTGAGTTCAAGAGCCAGTACACATACACACTGATGTTTGGGAGCTACATCCCTAAGGAAAAGATGGACCACATACCCTTTCAGTTCTGTTAGGTACATTCTCAGGCATTCACAATGTCTGCCCAAAATACTGAGAATCACAAGCACAAAGTCAAATCCTACGCACAGCCTCTGGCTGATGGTTCTTTGATAGGAAGAAAGATTATAAGTACAGAAATTCAAAGGAGCTGGTCAAATGACACACTTGATAATGGTGCCTGATCATTCTCACTCAGCTCATTTATCATCCAGTCTCCTCAGGTGTTCAGAAGTATTCAGTAATTGTGTGCATATGGGGATCAAAGTAGAATTCAGTCCTTCATGAGATCTCAGTGATTTGTCAGAGGTTGAAAGCTTTAAATCCCTTTCAGAATTGGTTGCTTACACTTTATGTTCTTTATTGAAATTGCAGTTTGGTATTTCCAACTTCCCTTCTTTGCACTCAACCCAGGAATAGAATCTGTGGCAGAATGTTTGAGGATTTAACAATATTTTGCATGAAATATTAAAAACCTACAAAAGGGACCAAAGAAAAGTACCAGCACACCCACCACCCAGATTAAGAACTAAATCAACCTACACAGGTCTAATGGTACATGCCAGTAGTCCCATCTAGTTGTAGTCTACCTGACACAGGAAGATTGCTTGAGCCCAGGAGTTTGAAGCAACATAGCAAGACCCTGTCTCAGACAGCAACAACAAAACAACAAACCAAAACAACAATAAAAAATCCCAACCATAAAGCAAACAGAAAGGTGAAGCCTTGTACTTTTTTTTTTGTTGTTGGTCATGGGGGCTTGAGCTCTGGGCCTAGACACTGTCCCTCAGTTCTTCAGCTCAAAGCTAGCACCCTACCACTTGAGACCCAGTGCCACTTCTGGTTTTCTGGTGGTTTATTGGAGATAAGAGTCTCACGGACTTTCCTGCCAGGGCTGGCTTTAAACCGAGATCCTCAGATCTCAGCCTCCTGAGTAGCTAGGATAATAGGTATGAGCCACTGGCGCCTGGCTTAAACCTTGTACTTTTTAATATTCTTAATGTGGTATGGGCTCCAAATTCACCAGACTTAAGGTTAACAGTGACGTCTGGAACATTTGCTAGGCAAAAATCAATTCCATTTTTACTTCCATAATCTTAATTAAATATGTATTTCTGTTGCCAAGATTCTGGGTTACCCGTGGCAGACTTGGATTATTTTCCTTTTCCTCAAAAAGATTAATGACGTGCAAAATTATAGAAGACATATATATATTTTTAACCTTAGAGGAAAAAGAGATGGGCAGTGAATGAATGAATAAATCAGAAGCAATTGATTTTTTTAAATCCTTTTTGCTTGTATCATTTATTGCATGTGAATAGCCAAAGCAATTTTCATTGGGTTAAATTCTGAGTCTTTAAAAAAAAATCTCTTTCATCTGAAGAAAATAGAGTTTACTTTAGAAATGCTGTTACATGCCAGGATCTGAAAAGTGTTAGCATGTGTTGCTCTGGAGAAAAGAAGACATTTTCTACTCTTTTTTTTCCTCCTCCTCCTCCTCTTCCTCCTCCTTTCTCTTCTTTGACTTGGGATGCTTTCTGTGGGTGGAGGGTATGATAGTCCCTTCCTCCAAGCTTAGTCTTGTTGTGATCCATTTATGCCGTACCCATCTGTTCTCCTAGGTCTGTGGCTTAGACTATGAAGACTCCTGGTCTGGAGATGGTTTGGATTTTGGTAGGAGTTGGGAGGGGGAAGAGAGGATCAAGAGAATAAGAGACTATAACATTCAATTCCTAGGCCATGAGAAATGAACAGTGGTTGTTTCAGTCATGCTGTTTGATTTATAGACTGTGGACATTTGCAGATTCTTGCCAAAGTCCCTTGCTTGAGTAAAACAACTACTCATGTTCTGTGGAAGGGTGAAAAGAGAGTTGAAATGAGGCATAGCTAAAGTCTTACCACTCTATTATTCTGCCACCAAACATCCCTTTTCCGAGCTCCAGCTCCTCCCATCTCCAATGCTCCAGCCCATCAATGAAAAAAAATGTATTTGTAGAAAATGCATAAACTTTCTAACACATGTAAATTCCAAACAGCTAAGAGAAGGTGGTGTGTGTGTGTGTGTGTGTGTGTGTGTGTGTGTGTGTGTGTGTGTGTGTGTGTGTTTGTGTGAATATACCCCTTCTTCTAGGATGTGCCACAGGATTCTTTTTCTTGCTCACATGTTGTTAGAAAGCCTGGCTGGATAATGTGATTTCTAACTGTCTAATAAAATTCCACTGCTTGCATGCCCTGTGCAGCTGGCCATAATAGGATTTGACTGCTGTGTGTTTTAGCTAATCCAAGGAACCTACCCCTAGAAGTAAAGGGTCAGCCCGGTTGATAGTTAAGGTCATTTCTGGTCATGTGATTTTTTTAATCCTTTGATATAATTTAAATAGACACCTGTCAGAGTTCATGGCTAAGGGAGAGCTAATATCCACAGCAGGAGAAGGGGTTGAAAGAAGTAGACTTTGGGGGACAGGTATGGTCCTAGACACTTTATCCCAAGAGCGGACTTATTCATAGAATTGTCTTGTGAAAACCTCCAGAGTCAGGTTGCTTCTTATTTTGTGGATTTCATCATAGACAGCAAATATATAGCTTCCTAGCAAGCAAGGAGCTATAGGTTCACCAGGCACTTAAGGCAAAGCATAGGTACCCCAGATAACAGAAGCATAAGCAACAATGTAATTCTCAAAGGTGTAAAATGATTGTTTCTCACTGATTCATTAGTTAGTATTTCTTTCTTTGTTGATATTTGTATATGATTTCTTATTCTTTATCGTTACAGAGCAGTGCACCATTAGTAACAGGCCACTGAGTGAGGGTCAGGATGTGACCTCAGACTAACAGGCTCTTCTGGCCTTCTTCCAGGTGTGGTGCTTATTGAGAAGAGTTCTTCAATAGAACTAGTATGAAGTAGGCCTCATTGGGATGTTTGGTTCACCAAGCTGTTTCTCTGATAGCATATGGAGAATGTAATTGAATTGAAATGATTTTGGCAGTACATGAATCACAAGTAATACAGCTAAATCAAATTCTAGACCCTATCAACCTAGGTGCTCAGGAGGTAGAGATCAAGAGATTCCCAGGCCAGCTTTAGCAAAAAAAAAAAGTGTGTGAGACTTCCCCAACATAACAGAAGAAATAAATGGGGTGTGCAGTCATCCAGGCTACAGCAGGAAGCATAAATAGGAGGATCATGGTCTAGACTAGTGATGGGCAAAATAAAAGCAAGACCCAATCTCAATGGAGATTTTTAAAAAGGTCTGGAATATAACCTAAATAGTAGAGCACTTGCCCAGGAAGGGTCATGCTCTGAGTTCAATCTCCACCCTTCAGAAAGTAAAATAAACTCCAGTTCTGGTGGAATTGAGTTTTGTGGGACTGGGGCAAGTGGAAGAGGAGAAGCAGGAATATATCTTCTCCTCTTCCTGCAACCACATGCAATAGAGACCAGTCAGTCTTCTCTCTGGAAAAGAGCATAGTCTTAGATCCTGACTGTTGTGCTTACTAGTTTAGAGCTTCTGATTTCTCTTCTATAAGATGGAGACAGTAAGCCCTGGGAGAGGTACTATGAGATATTCATGAAATAGCCCAAAACGAGCAGCCACCTTGGGAACAACAGGCAGGATATTCAGGGAACGGTTTGAGGGGAAGGTAATGAGGCAATTTGGACCAGGCAGGGGCTTTGAGATTGTCTTCAGTATAGTTCAGAACCAGCCACAGTTTGGTCCCATTATCTCTGTCTTCTGCACCCTTCCTCAGATGAAGTATTTCCAGAAAGACATTCATCCTGTCGATGCTTAGTGCAGACTGGGAACATGTGGTCCCTGTGTTTTCACCAGCTATGGATGAAAGCTCTTCATCTGTTTGAAGATAATTATTCAATTTTTCTTCTCCAGTCAAATCCCTTAA